TTTCATAGTTGGTTTCAACTTACATGCAGGTGGTAGACATCCGTTAGGATGCCGCACTTAGTCTTGGTGCTCACTTAACTTCGAACTGAACTGTAAGAGCTTTCAGTGAACCGCTGCGTGATTGGTGGGGTTGGAATTCCGATAGCCGCTCGACTCGGTCGTCTTTCTGTTGGCCTTGGCTTTCAAACCAAATGTTTTTAGTCAGTGTGGGTTAGTGCCATCATACCACTCTAACAGCGAGGAGATCAACACGTTCACATATTTTTATAAGGGAAACTACTCACAAGGTTGCTGAAAACTCTTCGACAGCGCAGGACGAAATCGGTCGTGGGATGTCGAAGAGCTTCCAGCAACCTTGTGGGTAGTTTCTTTTATGAAAATAGGTGGACGTGCTGATCTCCTCACTGTTGGAGTGGTATGACGCCACCAACTCTTCGACAGCCCATGACCGGTTTCGCCCTTATTGGGGCTCATCAGGTAGGCGCAGTCCTCGAGTTACCGTCACCCTTATGTTCCACTTGAATCCAAATTGGACTGTTTTCGAGAAATACACTCATCTGCGAATCAATTTGGCTTTCACGACAGACTCGACTGAATCTCTCGTTTATGGTATTCATTTGAGTCTGTCGTGAAAACCGAAATGATTAGCAAATGGGTGTATTTCTCGAAAACACGTCCACTATTGTTTTCTGTGAAAACGACCGATCTCATCTGTACTTTTGGTTGGAGTGGCCTTGGTCAGCGTACAGCTTCGATGTGGGCGGTACTTCCTAACTTGAGAGCCATTTATCATTTCCTCAGTTGCAAAACAGTCCAATATAGATAATCTAAACTTCGGCGCTGCGGTCTGAGTTGTCAGTATTCCCTTCTATGTTAGCTCGCACTACTCCTATGGGTTTGTAAGTAGCATAAAAATGAAAATGTAACTGGTGTGTCGCTCAACCAGTGTGAACAAATACAGTCTCCGGGTTTTCGTCTAGAATGCATACGCTATACGCATCACAGTAAATTTTTATTTACTGAATTTGATGGAAGAAATCCAGACATCTTTGTGTCCTCCACTCGTTGAACGCCATCACCTGCAGTGTGAACAACGGAGGGATGTCGGTTCAAATTTTGACCGCTTCAGAATGGAAATGAGAACGATTTAGTGTTGGCGGGCGGTTCCGTCTAAGACACAACGTTCAAATCATCGGAGATGAAGAATTGATTTTGTAAATCTCAAATGCGAAACCTAAGAACCTATCAGGAGCCTCCTTAGGGATTAAGAAGAACCATTCACCTCGTCCTAACCGAATGTGTGATCTACCAACTCAGCGCCTGCGGTTCATCCCAAGCGTTGGAAAGACACACGTGATTCGTCGTTCCTCAACCCCTTCTTGCTGGAGCACGCACGTTTTTGAGATGTTATCATAAAAAGGTTGAAATATGTTGTGGTGGGTTTTTCAACTACACTGAGGTGAGATGTCAAGAACAAATGGTTCGCTTATCATGTAGGTGGATTTTCCAAAACTTTAAAGTAGATGCTCGTACAGGGAGTGGACAATATACAATCCTTGGTGAACTATCTGCTTTTATTCATTTCTCTGGTGTTTGCACACACCCCAGTCAATTTTCAAACATGGCCCTCACCTGCCTACCTACTCGACAGAGCAGCAAGATCAGACCAGTGAGAATGTGACCGGTTATAGCGCACCAAGCGGTATTAGCAACGGTCCATTCTTCTGCGATTTCTTGGTTGCGAAACAAGCAAAACAAAGCAAGTTGTCACATTTATGACAACCAGGTCAATTAACGCGTATAGAACATGATCCGATCGGAACTGGAATTCATTGAAATGAGATTAGGGCGGAAATTTCTCCCAGGAGGTTCATGAAAAGATCACCAAGAAAGCTGTATGGTCTAAAGGGCGATTTTGATGAAAACACAACGCACCAAAGAGCAGAAGCACTCCTCTGGTGTGGAACACATGCGCCATGACAGGTGGGTTACTTTTCAAACCAGAATGAGTTGAACGAATTCGCACTGGTGGAATGAACAGTGGGCACAGTGTCCCGAAGGAGGCTAGAACCCGTACAAACAGGTCAGGGAAACCAACAAATAAGTAGACTGTCACCATTCACATCAGAGCTCATTGTATGTAGCAAATCTTTGCCACAGAGATCAAAATGGAAACGTCAACTATTTATTGTACACCCACACATCAGTTCTACAACCCGTAACATACCTCTGTGGAATTATCGTCTAGAAATCATCACGCTCCGTGAAGCCTGATGAAAATGCAAAGATTTATTTCAAGAATGATTGGAACAACATCCGCTGAATGAAGGTAAACGTCAGAAACGTGACAGCGCCAAGATCTAGTGCTCATGTCTCCCCCCTCGTTCACTTATGAGGAACAAGCAAGTTCGCTAAAAGGTTCATAAAACGCTCTAATTATGGGGCTACCTAACTAATGTTTGAGTAGGGAACAGTACAATTTTCTATCGATTACATGGAACGACTAGATCAGTTTGAATGATTTACTGAGCCCACTTAGCCTAGCCCGCACGACCATTAGCTTCACTATAAATCAAGGGCTTGATGAATTGTTGGTAGTGTGAAGAGATTTGGTTTTTTTGTGGTGATTTCTTCCTGTAAGTGAAGCCAATCTATGCTGAAAAGCCGAGAAGCACTGTGTACAGCTGCTTCATTCTTATTGGGAATCATCAGCAGTGCTCATCTCACGAAACTCCGAAGAGTCTCGAACCCGGACCTCCTGGCTTATAGTTTGAACACTTAACCATTCGGTCACGAGTGGCCACTGGCTTGATGAATGCTTAGAAGCTGACAATCATCTGAGCTACCTATGGCCGGTATCATCATAGAAAAGGCACTCATGCAAACTCTGGAGCTGTGCTGACCCAATTGGCCATCCCGTACGGACCGTGAGTTAATCGCTCTATAGTGAACAACTGAAGTCCATAGTTTCACCGTGCACTTTGCCCCACCTCATTATTTGTCACAAAAATTAGGACACATTAACTAATCAGCCTCAGAAGAAAATATTTTCAGTTCGAAAAAAAACCCCAATGACTAAACGTTCAGGGAGCACGTGTTTAATGCACAAACGCATGTCTGCTTGGGTTCAAACTAATTCACCGAGCCGCGGGATGGACGGAGCACTGGTAACTACTTCGCTGCGAGTAAGGCTTGTCCTATCCGGACTCCATTTCCCTCAGACCGTCTGTAGTAAAGGCATGCCAACCATTCTGGATATCATGTATCATGTACACTCTTCAACCCCAGTATTTGCCCGAACAACCACTTCAGGACGCCTGTTTGAACTGATTGAAACGTTTTTCCACTTTGATCGATCTGCAAAGCACCAAGAGTTGTGTAAAACAGGTATTCGACTGTTAGAATGTTTTAAACACATATATGAACAGAACGAACTTGAGTTCATTACGAGCAACTCGAAACAAGTAGCACGTACACAATGAAAGATGTCACACTAAAAACATGTTACTTTCAATCAACAGTAATACTCAAATAAGGTTTGAAAACTCCTAACCAAGATCCCCTCCGTTTTGGAAGAGGATAGTATACCACAGAGATTGCAAACTAGATGAAACCTATTGATTTTACGTTCGCTTAAAAACTTTGTCTTGATGAATAGTTGTTGGGATACTACTTTAAAAACCTTTGGTCCGGAAACATCGAATAACTGAGCAAACTTTGAACATAGGTCAGTGAGGGTAGTTTTGTTACTGCTGTTGCTATGCTATCGCTGGTTCAATACACCTTGGCTTGTTTCATTTCCATAACTGACTAAAATCTCCAAGCATCTTTTTTTGCTTTCTGCTTTGGTGAATTCGATCATGGCTTTCATTATTGAACGAAACTCCTGAACGTCTCTAGGCAGTAAGCTGATTAGGTCACAATCTTTTGTACACATAGAACTGCCCGTCTTTTTTGCTGTGAGAGGAACCTTCACCAAATGCTGCGATCGTTCAACAGTGCAAAAACTCTATAACCAAGTGCTTTTCGATTGACGATATTGGATTTGTGGACCCAGGCGAAGTGTCGCAGCCGTACTTAATTTATGTAGCCTGTCACCTGTCACCGTTTCACCACACTATCGATCTCCTCAGTTCTTTATGGACCAAAGAAACCTTCTGGCGGTCTATTTTCCCAGTACATGTCGGTCGCAGGTGGACCGACATGATTTTCTGTTGGGAGTGGCTCCCAATCTGTTGAACCCAGTTCCTGAATTCATGGAAGCTCACGGAGTTTAGCAGTCGGATAGACACGTGTCGAATGCTTATTGTTACTTTGCTAAGGTCGCAGTGTACAGATGAGTTTCAAGTGCACTGCTTTGCAGTGAGTTGGATTTGCGTGAATGTGGTACAAATTCGTTAGAATTACGGGCTGACCGCTGAATGCTCAAAATAGTTAGGAGAGTTTGGGCTTGAAAAACATTGCAACAAGGGCTGTTTAGTACAGTGTGACCTGAAGGTCACTATTGTGTACTTGAGGAAGAAGGCAAACAATCTTACAACTATGTAGTAAATCAAAAAGAACTGGAAGAGTCCAAACTTCAACTTCAACACACTCAAACGTTTCCTCCATTTGAAGAATGCCAGAAACTTAGGAGGAGGGAACCAAACTATAGAATAAACAACCTTGGACAGGTTAGCGAGAGCGTCCAAGTATTATTCCTGTTTAAGAAGATGGCATTCCCACACGATAGAAGTGTCCGAGTTTCTCCAAGGGGATAAATAAGAATCAATGTTTTCATAAAGGGAACTACTCACAAGGTTGCTGAAAACTCTTCAACAGCTTACCACGGGTTTCGCCTTTCATCATGGAGGCCCAGTCCCCGAGTTTCCGTCAACCTGAATCAATGTTTTGCAAAGCAAAACAGAGATTGAGTTTCAATTTTGATACTGAAGTCATTTTTTTAAGTGTCCTAGAGTTCGAAACACTATACAGTTCAGGTTCTGCCTCACTATCGTTAGATCACTCTGAAGAAATTATCGGAGAAAACTTTTCATTCGTGTTGCTTTTGGGGTGCGACATGCAACTCTGATTCTTCTGTCAAAACTGTTTACGTCAGGACAAACCAATCAAAAACCGATAGGTGGAAAAGTTGTCGAATCCAGAACCGTTCTTCACTGTTTCTCTTACAGTTATTCGGTTCCCCGAACGAGTCGCCGATGTACCCGAATGCCTGCACAACGGAACCCATGAAACATAGGTCCACTTGTTCCAAGAGCGCTTTCTCCGCCATGCAAATGGATCTGTCTATCATGAACCCGACGATAGGGGTGCACGAATTCCGCTGCCGTTTCCCGTCCTCGTTCCTTGCTTTGATCACAAACTACCTTGGCTATCTATGCTTCAGCCCAGAAGACACAAAGAAAATCCAGAATGCACTGATCAAGGAATCCAAAGCTTTGCGAACCAGTGCAAAGTCAACCGGTCAACAAAGTCGTGTCAATTCTAGTTTGGATTTGCCATTGACAACTCAGATACGCACAGCATCAAGCAAAGATCATTGTGCCGGTGAGTTTGTTCCAGACCTTCAGTGAAAGACGCTTGATCCGTACGCTAAAGTTTTAGAATTTGCAAACACTGGCGTGGGTTGTGATGGCAGTTTTCTTGATCTAAATAGGGTTTTCTACCTCCAGGTCCTATAATGCTGAGTGTTGAGCCTTGCTGTGCAACTTGCCGGGTTGCTACTCCACCGTACTATGACCTAAGGTTTGGAAAGGCACTTTGGAAGCACAATGAGAGAACTTACAGTAGCAAGGGTTCAAGGGATTGATCAGCCTGATGTGATATATATCAAGCGTCGGTAGCTTCAGCAGCTTCCCATAGGGCTGTACCAAAGTGGGCTGACAGCCAATGACCCCGGGTGTTCTGGCGATCGATTCAGAGTGCTTTCCAGAATTGTCCCTCATAAGAGAGTAACTGACGATTATCAGTAAAACTGGCCGAAACAAGCACAAAAAGGAAAATAAGCGTCTCTTTAAGGCGTTCGTTACCCCGAAACATCTACGAAACACTTTGGTGTATGCCTACTGTTGACTTATTATACCCATAAATTAGGCACATGGTCACGCACATACTCCATCCTTAACTCGCGATCGTTTGTATGTTGTCGGAGGTTCGAACTCAGCGCAATCACATTTCGTCCGTTTCCTGTCCGGTTTCGGTTGGTGAACTGACGCCTTGGGCGGGAAGTGGAGTGAACATTTCTGTGAGTATTTCAGATTCCTGCATTCCGCAGGAATTTCTGTAGATCCTTTTCATCCGATTCTTGGAGGAAAACTCTCGATATCGGCCACCTGATCGTCTTCCTTGTTGGGCTTTTTCACGTATCGATTTGCTATTATTTTCGCTCCCAGAAACTGATATTCCTTCGATTTACGAGCATGTATTGTCTCCTGTTCGTTACTATGAGTCAGTGATCCGATGAGTGTTCATCCCTTCCATTTTGAGGCTTGTAGCATCGATTTATTCCTTACAACATGCCCTAATCCGGTGATCAAGCAGAAAATCTGACTTGCAAAGAACTGCAACGCATTGAGGTGAAAAACCGTAATTTGTAATGAAGTTTGGTGTCAACAAAACAGCCAACAGGAATTCGAAGATATCTTTCGTTTGCGTCCCACACAAAAATGTCCTTTTGTACACCATTTGGAAAGGTGATATGGTTTTTCATGCTCACAATAGTTCACTAGTTGTGTAGATCTTTGACAAGGTCGTAAGTTGAAACCCAGAGTTATGAAAAGCCATGTGGACGTGTTGTCATTGTTCCTGAATACTGAATGCATGTGAATAATCAAGTCAAACCGATAGACAAATTCATGCTTGATGATACTTCACCAAACAGCCAGACCAAATTACTAAAGCAATCTTTTTGAATTTTCAAATTTCCCATAATTTTTCGAATTCCTCCGGCTGGTGGATCTCCCCTGAAAACCAAGCTTCTGCAAACTCGCGAATCCCTGTGGTCTGCTCGAGTTGACATACAGTGACAGTTGTGAAAATTTGTGTAAAACGTGGGTGACGGAAAAACATTGAAAAAATTAGGCAATTTCTGTGTAGATATGCATATCAGTGTACTGTTTTCCGTTCCGGGAGTTGAATCGTAAACAGATTTATCATATCGAAGTAAAGAGAATCCCGGCCTATGTTTTTCGATTGATCGATGCCAGCTGAACGGAATACCATCACCTTAGTTCTGCGTGAAATAAGATCCAATCGCTAAGACCAGTTTGACTGAACTTCAAACATTAATTGGCTCCAAGACAAGCAAAGATACCAAATGGAATTTTACGTTTAGTCCGGAATGTCGGTGAAACGGAACACCTTTTCCAAGGACACAAAGACGACACAATAGGACACGTGGTCTGCGGCTTCCCTGCCATGTTACTTGCTCTCTCTCTCAGATTTCCATTCATGGGGTCAACAGATCGCAAACATTCCACCGTGATGAAGTTGGCCCCTGACCGGGCCATATGTACGCACATGTTAGGGCGGCTTGCAAAACCATCATCCATTGTGAGACATAAGAGGAGCATTCGATACTCCGGTCAGTATCGCTGCACCAACTAACAGCCCTCACCTGGGCTGGAAGCTAAAAACGGGTTGCTGCAGCAGTGATTGGTCATGATAGTTTGAGTCATCTGGCAGACAGTGCTGTCGTAGCGAAACTGCGGCCACAACAAAATGATGTTGCTCGTCTGGTCAAGGTGACTACTGCTTCTGTGTATACCAAACGAAATTCCGACGTACTGACAGTGGACGCGAAGAAGACAGGTGACCCACATCAATTTGTGCACGTGCTTGATTAGAAACTGTCCAGAACCGTCCGGAAGCAGGAAATAAGTAGGACAAGGTTCCCCCTTTACAGCTGCAGGATTCGGAGGACCACGGACAAGGGGAGCTGGATTTTCGGGTGACAGAGATGTATAGTTGATTCTGTCAGAAGCCAAAGTTGTTCTCTGCTTAGGTGAAAGAGTTTAAACAATTTAGTGTAAGGCCACATACAGGCCACATGAACGTGGGAACTTCTGTATTGACCAGAAGATTAAGCTGGTGGTATGTGATGTTATTCCTGGTGCGAGAATAATTCAGACATTTCTTTTGGATGATCCAAACTGGTTAATTCTGTCGTTAACCCTGAATTTTCACCTGCTGCACAATCACGCAGTTGAGCGGCTTGAATTCAACAAGAATGATGCTCATGTCAACACCTTCGATATGTAGGAATGCAGCCTAGCACAACAATGTGGAACAAGTGGATCCAACGAGATTGATCGGCAAACTAGGTATCAATCTCCTTCTAGAACAGTGAAAGCAGTGTCTCTACAGAATGAAAACAAGATTTCTTCAAGAGCTGCAGTCAAATAAGGGCAACTCAGGTGAATGTTGAGGCACGAGAAGATACATAAATCCCAGCAGAGATTTCACCCTCCAACAGAAGAAGATTAGTGCTCAAAATCTCGCCACTTCGGTTGATTTGATTGACTTCTCTGTGCACAGCACACTTCAGCAAATATATTTTTATAGTAGCCAAACAAACCACTCTGGTTTTCGCAAATATTCAGTGCATCGACGTGTCGCAAACCTTATGCATATTTTGAATGGGTTTCAAGACTTTACTGGCTTTCTAACTGCATTTTTACCCTCTGTTGATAGATATTAGAAGTAATTAGATATGTAATGTCAGTCGCAAAGTCTGATATTGATTTTCTCCAAATTGCTACCAGGCTGAGGGCAAAATTTCAGACTCATTCAGTGCATCACACAATTTCAAGTTATTTCAAAATGCAAGAAGAAATGAAATAAGGAGGCGAGGGGTTATCATCCTCTCTGGGGTTCTGATGTTTTAGTGTGATGAAAAACTTGGGTAGTGTAGTGCTTGTGTTACGAGGTGGAACTCCGTTCTTTTGCGCGTCTTGCTAATCCCGATGTGCCCTGGCAGCCTGTGAGTGACCATGACAGAGGTTTCCTACCAGTCAATAAAATGTTTCATTTAAGGCCTTGAGAGGAGTTCTCTTCATACCATAGTCGTTCACTTCTTTACAACTTTTAAACGTAGATATCGTTCTATCACAGAATTGTTCTAATTCACATCACTCTCGTTTGAACAGTTGCTTTCCTGTCCTTGCGCAATTATTCTGGTGAATCCACATCAATGGGGGGAAGCACTGGATTCGAGTTTCACTCTTATTAGAGCTGATCAACAATGCATATCCAATGGCCATGCCGGGGTTTGAACTCCGGAATAGTGGTGGAATAGTGGGAGCACGTTCGCCTCGCATGTCAGCGGTGCGGAGTTCAAACCCCGGACACGGCCATTGGATGTGCACTGTTGATGAGCTCTAATAAGAGCGACACTCGAGTTACGTGCTGCCCTTTGGTGCAGCTTCATCAGAGTAATCAAGCTAGAACAGGAGGACGACTGCTCAAACGAGAGTGATGTGAATGTGAACAAATGCATTTGGTGACATTCAATCATTAGCTAACTAATCTTGGAGTCTTTGTTGAGAAGTGTTAAAGTATTTCTTTTTTGAAGCACAAGAAATTTCTGTCTGATGAAAATTCATCCCCCAATGCCACTGTTTTTGTAGACAAAGAACTGGAACACTGGTATACTGTGGTTCACACACTGGTACTTTACCTATTGGAGGGCAAGCGTTGTAAGTTCATTGTTGATTAACGCCCACTGCCTCAGCGTTTTAAGCAATTTTGTCGAGATCTATTATTCCGAGTAAGTCGTTTCTGCTACTTTTTTATTATTTATAAACAGACAAGCAACGCTTCATTCTCCGAAGACCTGGAAATCAATCAAACATGAACGAATTGGAACGAAAACTGTTCCCGCCGCGCGTCAATCCCTGGAGTTGTTCGAGCAATCAAACAGACGAAGTATTGCACAGACCTGCAATGGCAACAGAAATTGTGACAATCCTGGAGGGCTATGAGATTAGTGTACTGGCCAGCGTTCTTGCTCGTGTATTGCGTCACCACGGGATTGGCCTTATCCCACGCTACTTGCGCAACCTATTCTTCCAACTTGTAAACAATGCTAAAGCAAACGAGGTTTACCAGCGACGTGCAATCCGCTTGCTTTTCCAGCTGGTTCCGACCCGGTTACTACTTATGGTCATTCGCCCGGTGTTCGAGCTCCTGGCCGGTATTGCCAACGAGCCTACTTGTGAAGTAGACGAATCTAGTTTGGCTGTCCTCTTCTCTCCCATACTCTTCTCAGATCAATCCACAACGACTCCGGCTTCGTTGGCGAATCCGGTTCCGGCTCGTGCGGTTGAGTTGCTCGTTCGGACAGCTCTTCGTGACTTGCAATCCTACCACTCGTTGGACCGCACATTTCAGGTCCCCGTACTTTTCCAGGAAGACTGTGTGCGAAACCTTACCCAACATATGGTAAGTTAGTGCGGTTTTCATAATCCCAACCCGAGCCTAGATCTGGCTCTCAAAAGGCTCAGTGTTAACCGTATATATAGTACAACTGTATTTACTGAATGAGGAGATGCGTATGAAAACACTTTCAGAGGAACTGTTTGTCTGGAACTCAAACAAACATGAGCCGTTGGATAACACTATCAAGGATGGAGTTTCAAAACTCCAGTCAGAATGTCGACAGGTCATAAGCAGAGCATCAGCAAATAATCTGAACAGGGAGTGAACCAGGCAAGCATCGTCCAGCTCGTCCGCGAACTGTCGGCCATCAGTGACCAGACTAGGTTCCAACCCAGCTCACACACAGGTCTATTGGTATCCGCCCACTCACAGTATGTTTACCCTGCGAATAGAATGTTAGCACTCAAATCAAAGTGCGTGTAGCTGGCGAACGGTATCTACGAGTGACGCGTAATACCTGAACCTCCGGGAAGGCAAAACAAAGTCGGAGCTGGGTTTCTATACGGTACTATTAACGTAAGACAAATTCACAAATTATACAAACCTCAACAGTAGATACTCGTCCAAAACAAATGGTACACTTGGACTGCAAAAGTACAAACCAAAAGAGCAAACAGGCTTCCACGTGCGACAGTCGCACGGGGGCAAAGTCGGCTACAAATGGCCGGATGACCTCAAGGCCAAATGGGTGAAGTGGTAAGGACAAACAAACGTCAGTTCATATACACACACTAAACACGAAAGTGGGGCGGGGTTACAAATGGGGACAGGATAAACGTGGGGAAGTTCAGTTGTCAACGTAATGGATGACACAGTGTGTCTTTGTTCGGTTTGGAAGGAAATTACGAAAACCGATACCAGTGGATAACCACAAAAAACGCAAAACTGAAATTTAGCCAAAAGCCTTCTCGCTTTAGATCCACAAGGACCCATGAATTACGAAGTGCCGGCGTTTAGGATACTTAATCTGTCTTATACTATAAAATACGTCTCAATTAGAATAGAAGGTATCAACAGGTTAGCAGTGAAAAACCAGCCTAAATCAAGGTCATCCATACTGGTAAGTTGACAAAAACAGCTCCAATTTTTTATGTGAAACTTCTTTGCTTAGCAACCAACAGATGTGCTGGTTTACGTTTGACCTACAACCGACTTTAGCGCTGTTTGACAGCGTTTGGTAATATTTCTCGAAATGTTTTTATCTTGCTTTTTTAACCAAATGAGACAAGAGAACTTGGGTGTAGGAATGTCTGATTCTAGGAACAGCCAACCAGTGATTTTATTGGTAAAGAGAGAATTTTAAACCTTATATAGCCTCAGAAAGTGGTGAATGGCGTGCTTCTTTTAACTGAGAAACTTGACTGCGTGTCATATATATGCAACATCGAGTTGATAGGCTTTGTCACCATCTCAGGATGGTCACCAGTTTATTAATATACCATCTACTCAACATGGTATTCTTCTCAAATCGAGCACTCCATTGTCAGGCCACTGGGACTGTAAGACTGTTCCGTTAATTCCAACCGGGTGACAACTGGGAGTGGCACTAATTTGCACTAGATCGTGAATGATCGGGCACTTTTTTTGGAAAACTCAAGAGGTTTCTCAAACTCCGAAAAGTTTGTTTCGGGAGCATAACATGTGGAGTTGGGTGGAGCTAGCTGAATCACCAGCCATCTAACAAGCTACATAACAAGTCTGTTCAGAATCCTGATGCCCACACTCTTGTGGGGAAACCTTCCCAGGAAGCTGTTTGATGACCCGCTTGATGAACCGATTTCATTTGCTTGCGAGGTAGGTGTTCAAGACATACCTTACTGACGCAATTGACGTACTCAAGAGCCTCCAGCCTGTGATGTGCTTTTCTAACTGGACCATTGAATCATTCCAAGAACTGATAGCTATTGGGGCAATCAAAATGATCAAATGTTAATTCGGGGGGTCTCAGGTGCAAGGACGTTCCAAGATGACGGTGTGATACGTTCTACACAAAATTTCGGTGGTTCATTGTACTTTTTCCAGACCACTTCTTTCCAGAATTGTACGAAGCGGTGTCATATTAGCTTATCATTCCTTCTTGTGTAGGAATGTTCAGATGATCTTTCTGCAAGATGATGCAGAGACCCCGGGGGTAAGGACATGGTTAGAGAACAGGTGAATTCATGACGAAAACTCGAATAAATCGTCACCACGATTACAGTCTCTTCCTGTGTCTTTCCAGCTTGCAAGTCTACTGGTTCCATTCTCGAAGAACTGTTCGACAAGCTGGTCAAACAGCAAGCTAACTAGTGAAAAGAATGTCAGGATTATGGATAGTTGAACCAAACCACAATAGGTCTTTCGAACTAATTGCGAAAAAATTGACAGTATCGGTCGAAGATTGCTGAGCATGGCTCAAGTGGTTGATATTCTTCTTGAAAGTCAGGACCTGTTCAGTCGGGATCATTTGTTCATACAAGTTTTAAGGTCCTACTCGGCCTAACGGTCGGTGATCAACACTGATGTATGTAACTCCTAGTGTGGCCGTTTGGTTGGTTCCTGATTAAAACCAGTTAGTTGCGAAAGATTTATCACCAGTCCAGTTCACATGATTTGGTTCCTGAGTAAAACCAATTAGTTGCGAAAGATTCATCACCAGTCCAGTTCACATCATCAGTACGCCGTTGTGTAGCAGGATACTGCACTACACCAGCGCTTGTGTGATGTGTTTCAATGAACATGCTGTTAGCCGTGGCTGACCTTCACCATGATTGGTTGTTTATTTCGGTAGTTTTATTGGTTGATCCGGTAGTCTGTGTTCTGATAGATCGGTGTCAGCTTGATCTTTGAACCCGTCCTCTTCAAGTCTTACCGATGGTTGTGTGAGGTTTGATAGTTTTCAATAAGATTTTTGTCCTGTCATTGAAGCCAAGTCTGTGACTAATCTCTGTATACCAACATAATACCGTTTGGATGGCCAACTATGTGACTCGAAGCGCTTGGTAGTCAGAAATTGTTGCCTGAGTCCACTGGCTGTATGTTGCTATTTGCATTCGGAAGTCGAACTGGCGTTTGATCCAACGAAGTCTGTATTCGGATGAAATATGTATATTTCCAAACCATTTATATTTGATCATCTAGCACCGATAAATGGTTTTGAGATAGCTTGGTGTGTGGATTTCTGCCACATTCGCAGTGTGTTGCTTTGTTGGCTTTCACATGATAATCAGTTGTCGGTCACAACACTCCATCATTGTTCAGTCACCAGGATTTCCATCGGCACGGTGCGGTATGGGTGCACCGAAGGTGCTTTATTGCACTGAAACTGAAAGGAAATGATGAATTAAGCCGTCGCTCTGATGATTAGCAAGTAACTAGTGATGTGCCCATTGTTATGATGACCTTCAGGTCGGTTGGAGACAGGTTCGCCCGTCGATGTTGTCTCCAAGGTCTTGAGCGCAGCACCACGCAAGCCCAATTTCGCTTCGTGTTGTGTGCAGGCATCCCCTGATGACCTTTAAATTCACTTCGAATGCTGGCCATTTAGTTGGACTCCATTTGGTTGTTTCTGGTGAGTCGCTGGTCCGTTGACGAGTTTTATACAACTGACCTGAATAGGAGGCTTCTTACCGCCAACTGCTAGACGACACACTTTCTTCTCGTCTCGGTTTGTCCCATAACTTGTTCGGTCCCCCAACTCCACGCGCACCACAGTTGTGAATTCATTCGTTATATTCCATCCAAAACTTTTGTCGAACCAAGCTTTCCGCTTTGGTCTTTAACTGTTGGAAAGTTAGTCAGTTTCTCCTATCCGCCGCTCTTCTGATTAGTTTTCGTGTCTCCGGTGAAAGTATGCGCTGTCGGAGATAATTGCATGATATTCGGACTAGTCTGTACGTGGGCTTTTACCAAGTAAATTATCCACCCTGTAGACAAACAAATATCAGGCCAACTAGATAGCGACAACCTCTCGGGGGATTATGGAATTGAACGCAGTAGCTTACAAGGTTTCATGTGACGCAGGCAAGCTCACGCGAGTGAGGCCGATATGTAATTTGGGGCGCCATAAATTAGGGGCTAGCTGATTTGGCCCACGAAATTGACGGGGTGCAAAGTGAGTTGGCGTTGTGGAATAACACCTAATTATAAAATGAAACGCGTCGAATTTTCTGAACTTGTTATAAGATGTGTTTGTTTCACAGCTGACTGGTTCATCAAAACTTAAGATAGTCACTTTTCATCTCTTCTCTCTTCCGACTGAGTAAGACCGAGGGGTTCACCTCCAGAATTTCGACTGTACTGTCGTTTTCAGTAACACAACCACTGAGGTGCTTGTAACTGCAAACTTGTCATTCAGTCTTCCTGCGAAAGAGGAATTGGCTGCTCAACGTGGTCTCAGTTTGATGTTTGTACATAATCTTCCAGTGCAAGGTCAGTAAATGAATCCACATACATTATAAGACAGCAGTTTTTAATATTCCGTAATTGGATACCTGTTTAACGAGACCCGGAAGCTGCGCACGCATGTTAACCTGATGGCGAACTACTGATTAAAATAACAGCTCAAAGATCTTGGAATATATATTAGTAGCGAATGCAGAAAGAACACAGTCAGCGCAAAAGGTCGGGGTACATACGGATGCCTTTGGAAACTGTCACAAGTTACCCAACATCTGCATGAAAGTAGATCCCCAGCCTACAGCTCTTCGATATTGATCAATTTAGTCGGTAACGAGTGTTCCACAGACCACCCATTTCGTCCGATGTGACATCTCTCCAATGGAATATTTGAATTCTGGTTTAGAGATGGAGATGTGTGAATTCTGACTAGGGCTACCGCAAATCACGTGATCAACAAGGTCCACTGCATTCACTTGGCCAGATCGATCAGCACGATTTATTGAGTGACACTCAAATGGGGCACTTGGAAGGGATGGATAATACACACTAAGTTTACCAGTGTGATTCAAGGGTGTAAAAACCAGGGGACACATTATTTTGAAACTTCCCATCTGGAAACAACAGGTCAAGGACCTGATAACTTCATTATTTTTCGACGGTACTGCAAACATCATACTGATAATGTTCAGTCTTCTACAATACGTCTTCCAAATTAGGGTGATTCCAACTCAGGACCAAAACAAAGGGGCCTCCACGTCAAACCGAGGCGGCCCAAGTGGTTTGCGGCCTAACCGTGCAGTGCCACGCGTTCTTCAGGGTCATTTTTCAAGCAACTCAGGACCAAAACAAAGGGGCCTCCAGGTCAAACCGGGGCGGCCCAAGCGGTTTGCGGCCTAACCGTGCACAGTGCTACGCTTTCCTCAGGGTCATTTTTCAATTCCGAAGTTGCACAAACGGTTAGTTGGGTCCAACCGTTTGACGCCAATCCAAGACAAACTACAACGTGCTTATTAGACAGTGGTGGGACCCTCTCGTGAAAGACATTGTGGGACACTTCCAAATGCAATTGGAAGCACTAATTAACTAGCCGTACTTCGCCGGCGGCCAAACAAAATGTACTTGTTATATCAGCCAAGCAGAGCCACATGGAACTATTGCCGATAGTGCAGACTTCCTCAAAAGGATAAAGTACCGCTTAGCATTCGGACCTACAAGAACACGATTCTGATGCTAAAATAAGCTTTCTGCTGAGAAGGACAAAGTTCGGTGAATTCTGGACTATACCTTAACCATGTGGTGTGGTAATCATCAGACAACTGCAGTATCCCACTGATGTGAATAGCTGGACACAGTTGTTTTTCCAAGCCGTACCCCACGTCTTTGTTAGCCAGCTGGAAGGGAGGAGATTTATACACCAATTTTAAGTTCTGGTTATCTCAAACCCTAACACCTATTTAATTTGTGTGTTGTGCGTTTATTGCTTGATTATTTGGTGGCTGTTGGGCTGTTCATCAGACTCAGCCGAATGTGAACTGTGCTGCGTTGTGCTCTGCATTATATGCATTTGATTAGTTCTCAATCAGGCTTCGTTCGAGTGGTTTTGGTCTCCTCCTGATTTCTGCTGCGTTTATAGTCCGTCTTCTTTGATCTTAGTGGATATTTCAATAACTTCAGTCGCACCATTTGATGGGAATCCAAAAATATGGATTAATTTTGTGAACGATACTTTCGTCACCATGAAAAGCAACGAAATGCAGCGGCTTAACAGTGTTTTCGAAGGCACTGATGAAATTTGATTAAGCAGACAGAGAAGTTCTGTCATGAGGAATAGGTAACTTGCCAAACACATGAAGATCATGCCAGAAAGTAGTAAAAACCGGGAACGGACCAAGAAAGCCCTGGAATAAAGCTACACTGAATGAAAATAAGATAAAATATCAGAAAGATAGCAGAAAGAGGAATGGAATCACAGGAAACTGTTCTTGAGCTGCCGACCCATAGGGGAAGATTTATGAAGGTTTTTTGAAAATAGTATAGAGGCAAGCGATAAGAAACACGTCCCGCTGATGCATACTCTGATGTCGAACGTTTGCAACCTAGTTGCTTCGCTCGGTGAACGGATCAACAGCTGCCTTGATTGACAAATCCGTAAGGCACACTTGCGGAATAAGAAATGCCTGCAAGTTCTATCCAAACCTATTCTAAGTTAAAAGGTTTTTGGTAAGTCACACAAAACCAACTGGTATCAGCCTGTAGGTCTGCTACACTCGCGTTCTTAAAAAATTAGTGTTTTTTTTTGTAGCGTAAGGAGATTTGGCAATTCCAACTGAGGTTTCGTCGTGTAAGCAGAACCAGTCTATGATGAGATGCTGAGAAACACCGGTACAGCTGATTCTCCTCACTCGGAGTCACCAAGGGTGCGTATCTCACGAAACTCAGAGTTTCGGACTTACGACCTTCCGGTCATCGATTGAACACTCCACCGTTCAGCCGTCACTGGCTGATCAGCAGTGTGATTAACTCTCAACTAGGTGGGACAAGCGGCCCCATACATCGTTCAATTTTGAGGTAAACACAATGCTAATCAGGTGCTGGTTACCATACCGTTGAGCACTCAAATGACCAGATGGGAGGTCGTGGGTTCCGAAGTGCATGGACTTTTGAAGGAAATACACTGACGATGATTCTCAACGAGGATGGCTTATCAGCATAAACGAATTCTCCATCAAAACGGGTACTACTTTTGCTACCCCTCTAAGAACGAGACGCCTCGTGAGTTCATTGAGACCCGATCGCATATGCCTTTAGACTAGATGATATTTTTGACTTTACAAGTGAATACTTAATGCAGATACCAAACTTCATCATCAGATTTCCATCTAGCTCTTAAATCGATTGATTTGATTCCGAAGCAGTGTGTTTAAATGATTATCGTTGCAACAGAATGCTTTCTACCTAGCCATGATCAAAATCTAACAATGTATTTTAATCTTAGAGCCGTTTCGCGAAGCTTTCTAGAGTCAGTCAACTGTCAGAATAACTCCTCAGGGAGAACACTTTTGTGACGGCCACTGGAACAAAAAACGGATTTGATTTCTTCTTGCAAGATGACAATTTAGTGAGGAATGGTCACATAACCGTCTGTGCATTCTCTTCGGGCGTTGTAATTGTGAATCCGATTTCGATCTAAAACTGTTTGTGTGGTTAACAATTTAGTTCGAAATTTCGACGTCTCAAGCAAATTAGTGATACAGCGCTGCATAAATCCGTGTGGCGCAATGCATTTAAAGAGGATCTTTTCCAGATAAGCCCTGCCACCCAAAAAAGATGAGAAAAAAGGCCGTGAAATGTGTACTTTTATTTTTCAATGAAGAGGGTAAAATTGGGACATGTCATTAAAAAGTTGCATGAAAAGGTCCTTTTTCCGGTACCTTTGCCTTCAAACGAACTCACACAAGTAGCCGTCCAATAAAGATCGGTGTGTGTCGTATTGGCGTTTATTTTGCATCTTGTAGACGTGCCAAAGAGATTCGATGGTTTGTGTGTGAGCTCCAGTCGTTGGATCCACAAAGTTTTCGGTATGATTAACCGTTGGAGCAGACGAAAGCCGCTAGGCGCAAACTACGCAAAGAAAGTTCTTCCAGTCAAGAGCGGTCGTGTGGCTAACAGATAATTCTTCTGAGCAGAATTTGATTTTTGCCAAAGGACCAGCAAAGCAATAAATGAACAGAATTACTCTCCTAAACTCCATTCTAGACCGCTCCAGCCAAATTCCCTTTCGATGACCGTTTTCTTGCCGACACTGTCAAGCATTACACCTCCACTTTTCAGAAACAGTTGAAAGTGTCATTAGGTGGCCATTGTTGCGTAAACTTTGCTGATGGATCACTCCGTGGCTTTGCAAAGGAACGTACTGCCTTCTCGTTTCCATGAACGAGAGCTGAAAGCGTCAGAAAGTTCATTCATGGTTTTACGTCCGAACGGAGAAAACGTTTGCACAAAATGAGCTAGAAATAGGTCATGGTTGTGTGTCTACATCAAATTGGAGCTGGCAAAATGTGGCGGGGTTTAACTTTTCGCACATGCACTTTTTGAATTAGTGGCGGGGCTTGTTTGGCAAAGATCCTTTAAATGAAACTCTCTGTTGAACACGACAAATTTTTGTACAGTATCAAGTTCGTCTAAGTCAAGACTGATCGGTCTTTCCGCCATACTTTGGCCCCCTAAATGCATGGCTTTGTCAAATGCGTGCAGTTTTTTCCTATTTCAGATACTCGATAATCCGCAAATCTCGTGCAGTCTGGGGCATTGTGTTTGCAAGAATCAAAAATTGTGGACAAATCGATCAACTCAGACAGATTCGAATATGGAGTCGTGTGATCAAGACTGCTTTTTGGAAGTTACGAGAAAGATGGATTTGTGATTCATGTACGTTGGTATCCTTCGTAGAGTCTTGTTGGAGGTCGATAGTGGACCTTCGAAGGATTTTCCGTAAAAGGCACTACTTTATCATTATTTGTAATGTCGTGATCACGTTCACTCAAGTAGTAAACTGAAGTTAAATTTTCCATCCCTTATCTTAACGGTGCATTCCTGGCGCACCTACTCCGGTTAGCTCTTAGAAAAAGGCGGAACCACTGGGTTCGAGTTTCACTCTTGTTAGAGCTAATTAGCAGTGTGTAACCATGACAGTGCCGGGGTTCAAGCCCCGGAATTCGATTACATGGCCTACCATATCTGCTCAGAATTTTGCAATTCGAACGTCAACCGGTGTGGTGTTATTATGCTTCAGATCTGAAAAACGAAACTGGTGTTCGCTTTGTATTACCACTGTACGGGTTGACCTGAAGATTTGAGTACGCTTCGGACGTGCAACGGCGCTGATTGGAACTTCTGGTGATAAAAACCAAGTCCCTTCTTAGTTTCAGGCCAGCTGAATAAAGAACTGACCAACACAGGTACCCGATTATTGCTGACTAACACATTGCAATTTTCGAAGTTCCGCAACTTACCATTTGATGAGCACTGGACAGGTTTAACTGACTTCCGGTTAATTTTATCCTCGAAATAACCGTGAATGAGGATCGATCAAAGCAAACACTTTCCTTCGAATTCTCCGGCTTTTCCAAGATTTCAGCATTCTGGCCCCAAAAAAGTAATCTTATTGTCCCAAAATGCGCGCTTGAATCCTGGTTCTGTCCGCTGGAAATTCTTTTGTAACTTTTAGTTCCTACCTACTTTACAAAACTTGCTGTTTGTGACCAAGCAAAGGAGAGCATGTGGTTTTCCCCTGAAATTGAATCAATGAGCATTCGCAGAAATCCATCAAAATACAGAGATGGAACGCTCTGTGAAAAGCCGGAGTTGGCGGCCAAGAGAAATCACAGTCGAAAGAAATCAATCACATGTGATGAAAAAATGTCTTTGGTCTGATTATGAAAACAAATGGCCAGTTACTCACAGGAAGGACATGTGATACGGGCAGTTAATTAAAAATTGATAAGAATGTCTGAATCAAGACAAACTTTTAAGTTTTCAAAAGACTACAGCGATTCACAACTGACTTATACTAGTGGGACGGTGGATACTACTGATGAAGCATGCGAGTAGTATGTAGTTTTCTCGTGAATCCGCTTCGCGTCTCTTGAAAAGTGAGATCTATTACGGAATTTGTGGAGTCGCTCTGTCGCATTTGCTTGCATTTGAGTAACAGTGAATGAATATCCAGGAAAGTTCAGGAAGACGCGTTCGAGAAGACGATGGATACACAGTATTTATGAACAAGATGCATATAATTTGCTTGCTTCCCTGTCCAATAGTCTGTAACTTTTCAGTTGGTGCTTCCCAACAAACAACTTCGCAGCGAAGGCCTTCTTCCTTTCACTGGTGGTTTTAAGCATACGTCGTTGGATAAATTCTCACTCTGTTTACTCATGGACGGTGGAAAGCTTTGCTGAGCTTTTACAGTCCTTTCAGTGTTGCGTCCCTCAAAAGAAGGCACATTAGACCGATCCGCGACGGACAGTCTTTGTATAGCTCCAGTTGAAGACTCGCCAGCCAAAATCTAAGATGTGGATGTTACCAAAAAGACGGTGGGGACTAATCGATCAACAGAAGAGCGGTTATTAGTTCATCCAAAGTGTCGNTTCCATAATGCGAGTATGAATCTGTTTGTTTGCTCAGGGTGCGCATTGCTTGACTTGCTAAGGCAGTGGAGACAGTTCAGCATTTGATGATAGAACCTCTGTATGTTTGAAGAACCGTGCCGCTGCTGAGCCGTAATAGGAGGACCGCATGGTTCAGTACACTCGGCAATGCTAAGGGATAACTAGACTTATAGTTACGCTGGAACACGAGAAGTTCCGTTCAAGCGTTTTTCTTGTAGACCCATCCTTGTATTTATCACGTGACAGCGAAATGCCAGATTATGAATGACTGTTTAAGCACATGGTCTTACCGTTTTTTGTCAATTCCAAGCCCAAGGCATCAGGTATATCAATTTTTCCGTGGGAATTGATGAATGTCTGGATAAGTGACGTCTAAACAACATGAACTTTGCTATTCTCATCAGCAGTTCTCAAATTCCGATCGATTGATGCGTAGTTCCGATATCAATTGTTTAGAATCGCTTGCCGAATGGCCGTTAATCTGACAACCAATCCGCGCAACCTAGCAGCTGGCGTTTCCCGACCAGTTTAACCGACGTGTAAGTGCAATACGGGCTCTTGTACAGCCTACTCGCCCAGCGTGAACTTGGCCTATTGCTTTTTGTTTGAATGAATGCCCGCATCGACTTGCTGACATAACCCTGCTGACATCTAAATGACGATCAAACACGACTACCACGCTGCCCCATTGCTAAACCACATTGGTGGCTCCTGTCTTCTAACTGGCTGATCTGATGGTTTGGTCCAAAAGAGGGTTTCGACTGAACTGCTGTTCCTTTTTGTCATACTGGTTGGTAGATCGCTTCAGTTCCGGAATGATGATTGGTTGAATTTTCCAGGAGTCACGTGCTTCTAGGAACTCGTTAACCGGCCCAGTACTTTTATTTGTCAAGATTTCCTCCTTTCCTGAGCTGAAATCGCTTTCCTCTTGGGGTCATCACGCTGATGACGTTACTTTGGAACAAGACGCCATCAGCGTGGTTAGCCCGAGAGGACTCACTGACCAGAAGGTTCGTGGTCCTAACCTGACCTCTGCAACCCAACTTTCTCTGTCAAGGCTTGGGCAGTCTGTCCCAGCCCTCGTGCTTCTTTCGGGTAGCATGGCAGTCTGGCACCGAAGGCATGTTACAGCTAAACGATCATCATTGTTTATTTGTTTTAAAACGCGATGTTCATGATACCTTCATTTCAATGATTTCCGAAGAAATAGCCATCTTGTTACCAACCGGATTCTCAAGGAACGCACGGGTTTTCGCACCCCCAAATCTCCCTTCATCCGGTTTCTGTATCCTTTTCACCTATGGTTACACGACAGTAAAGTGTCATTTTCCGACATTCTTAAGTCTATGATGAGGACAAGGTTTTGTTTCGCGTTGGCCGGACGGGATGTTATCGTTTTACATTCCAAAAGTATTCAAAAAATTGTATCATTTTGCCCGTGAGACCATCTAGGAGCATAGATGCTACTGAAATTGTAATGAGCTCAAAAGCTGACGTTCGTTCAGCTGTAGCACACTTCTGGTGTCTAGATGCCATGCTACCGGAAGGAAGCACGAAGGCTGGGATACTGTCAGGTTGCCCAAGCCTAGACAGGGGCAGTCGGGTGGCAGAGGTCGGGTTCGAACAACGGACCTTTCGGTCAGTAAACCACTTGAGCCATCTCCACCCACAAAAGCTGACGTACTGTCAAGTTGTCCAGAAATCGAAAAATGTGGGTTGAGTTCGAACCAGGGATCCTCTGTAGGGTAGTCTGGCACATAAGTCACTGAACTTTGCCAAGAATGGGGTGAATGTAACTCTAGAATCGCCTATTTTCTAGGCTTACGCTTGGTGGTCCACTTCTAGAGCTGTCCGAATTTCCTGACTTTGGCCTCTATGATGATATCTTGTGCACCAGGTTGCAACGCAAACATGTTTGATTCTTTACTCTTCACTTCTTTGGCTCTCAACAATATTGTGGCTTTCTGTAGTCCCAAATAGATTCTGTCATGGTGAAAAATATTGGTGTTCTTATCGCTCCGTTTCACTTATCTTCTCGGATAACTGTGTTTTGGACCTATCTCTGGAGGCATACTACAAAGAAGTCCAGAGTATCGTGTGCAGGAAACTTCAAAAAGCCTGAAAAGAGGGTCCGATAGCATGAGCAGCGCGAACCCACTGAAAAAAGACTCACCATTACCAATTTTCTTATTTTTTGTGCTTTTGATTCATTAGCGTATTGCTTACACATGATGGACGATCTCAACCTTTGCTTTGATTTATGTTGCTTTGTTGAAATCATCAACATCTGGGCAGCCTTGAAATCCGGTGACTGAGCAAAGTTATGTTCTCCTAGCCTGGATCTTGACAAACTCACCAAGAAATGTTTGTGCTAGCCGAAACAACTTACCGCATTCACAGCTATCAGTGACTCTCCTGTCACGGGTAGGGCAGTACCAGATGATTAGGGGAACTCTAAGCAAACCCTGTCATCCCAGACATCTACCACCTTTGCTCCTCAGATGGTGTGCCACCATCCTTAGTGAAACAACGTTTTTAAGGTTGCTGAAAATCTGTCGATAGCCCACGACCAGTTTCGCCCCCTTTCGGGGCTCATCAGGTGGGCGCATTCCCCGAGTTTCCGTCAACCTTATGTTCTACTCGAAAAATTTGTTTTGTTTGCAAACTTCGAAATGTCCTGAGCTGGTTGTAAGAAAACAACAATTGTCTTTGGTTTGTTCGCTGAGCTGGGCAATTTGATTGCAAACGTTGTGTCACCAATCGAGGTGAGATCCTCAGTACGTTGTTAGGGAGCGTGGTGGAGCGCACCGATGGGCTGGTGGTTGTGCGTTGAGTTGTGTTGTGTGTGCTATCCGGGGTTGACATTCGATCACGATTGGTTGTTCGGTCAGTCGGTTCCGTTGGTTGTTCTATTAGCCATTGTCCTGATTAGTCGATGGCCACGTGACCTTTGAGCCTGGCCTCCCCTGTCCTGGTACTCTGATCGATGCTGGAGCTACCTATGTCGCTGACCTCTCCGGGTTCCCGCTTGTGCCCCGTGTTGATCCGACTCCAGGCAGTTCCTTGGTTCGTGATTTGTGAACCCGACATTTGGCTATTCTCTACAGAAAACAACAACATTTGAGGGAATGCTCTGTACCTCCGTCCGCACGAGACCGTTTAAACGAGCACTCCTGAATCGACTGGATATCATCCTGTTGGTCCAAGATTCATACCAGTTTGCATATCATTAGTATTCCTCCACGCCAAGCACCGT